TTTTGAAAATATATTTCTAAAGCAATGTATATTGACAAGCACATTTTTGTTATGTATTTTAAAGTTTGTTCAACTATACTGCTCAGGGGATTGTTTTGTATTGTCAGGTGATTACACTCTATGAACACATTTTAGACTTGCTTCCTCCAAGCAAGAAGTATTGTTCTATTGTTGTCACTAATGTGTTTACCTTTCAATAAGCATGGCTTGTACAGACCACAAAACGCATGACTTACTTATACAGTAGATTATATAATTTCAATAATGCAAGTCAAAAACAACACCAAACCCAATGCACAGCAAGATTTGGGTAAAAAATATACAAAAAATATCAAAAAAAGGAGGGTTGCATATGTTAAATTGATGTTGACGCACTATTTCTGACAGTAGGTTATGTATATTGCATATATTATACATGTGGAAAGCTTTGTCCCAATTATCAAATTTTATTTATCAAATTTAATTTACAGTAGCACAACTTCTCGTACACCCTGTACTACAGGTTTACTCTTTGTAAACTAGACAGTCAACACCAAGTCACTACTACTCCAGTCCATGTTATTACATACAGTTAATTAGAGGATATAAACAATAGCATATTCTGGGTTATATTTATCAAGCATAATTTAAAGTTCAGTTTAATTATGAAAATAGAGGCCTAAAGAGATTAAGCTAGTGTTAATAAGAATTTATTAATAGACTGGTATAGCTGAAACATGTAAACAACTATTATTTTATTAAACAAATGACTACTAGAAACAAAAGGTTCTGTAAACACTGTACATGAGAATTTATGTTACATTTACAGCACAAAAAAAAAAGCTTTAACCAAAACCCGAAAAATAGCAACTGGTATAATGCAGTAATAGTTCAAAAAGAAGCACACCACGATAAGGAGATGTATGAAAAAGCTACAAGAACCTTAATTCTGCTGAATTCATTTTCAGATAAGAAAAACAAACTGAACAGCCTGGTTCACATCAAACTTTTATCTAGATATACATCCACTTAACTAGTTAAAAGTTCGACGTGAACCACTCAATTATAGCTAGATAAAGGCTTTTAGTCACTTAAGCCTGATTCACGTCGAACTTTTATCTAGATATAGATCCACTTAACTAGTTAAAAGTTCGACCTGAACCACTCAATTATAGCTAGATAAAGGAATTAAGTCACTTAAGTTAAGTGACTTAACTTTACTAGAATAA